TTTTTTTTTTTTTTTTTTTTTTTTTTTTTTTTTTTTTTTTTTTTTTTTTTGCCCAATTAAAAATAGGGTCACTTGTTGATTATTTTTAAATTTTTAAATACTCGTTCAGCCATAAAATGCGGTAAACCATCATTTTTGCCTTTTAGTTATATCTTCATTCATAAAATAGTTTAATAATGTTTACAAGTTTATAAATTTTTTAAAATAAAGTATTTCTTAAATAATTTTTGGACCATGATATACATATGGTAACATAGATCATTACATATTCTATTTATTTAAATGTATTTAAGGCCCCACAATTACAAACTATATTTTAACAATAAATAAATAAATAAATAAATATATTTTTTTGATAGTAGTTCTAAGGAAAATATTATTTAAAATCAATATGAATATAGCTCAATCCATTAAGATAGTTAAACTAAAAAAATTATTTAAAAATATTAAATAATAATTCGTATAAGCGATCTTTATGACATCAATTAATATTCTCTTTAAATCAATGAACCCGTGTAATAGGATCTTCATAAATGGAAAGGTGAGAGGGTTTTTTTGGAGTTCAATTGTTTGGGATGTAACAATCCAATAGCATATATTTCTCTTGCCGACTTCCCCTCAAGCCCTTAAAACATGTCTGCTAGGAGAAGGTTTCCACACCCTTATAAATAGTGTTTTTGTTCTCCTCCTCAACCAATGTGGGGCATCACAATCCACCCTCTGAGGCCCAACGTCCTTGCTAGCACACCACCTCGTGTCTATCCCCCTTCGAGAAACAACCTCCTCACTAGCACATCACCTGGTGTCTAACTCTGATACCATTTAGTAACAATCCAAGCCCACCGCTAGGAGATATTGTCCTCTTTGGGATTTCTCTTACGAGCTTCCTCTTAAGGCTTTAAAATGCGTCTGCTAGGGGAAGGTTTCCACACCTTAAGAGTGTTTTGTTCTCCTTCCCAACCAATGTGGGACATTATAAAAACTGAACTCATACCCAACCCAACCATATAGTTTTGGGTTAGATTGATTCAAGTTCGATTTTTTTTTTTAATTTTTTTGTTTCTAATAAAAGTAAAATTTTAGTTCGTAAAATATATAAGTAGATATTAGGCATAAAAACTTAAATTTAGATGAAAGAGACCATATGTTCCAAAAGATAGCACCCATGAGAAGGATGTTCCGATTTTGGTAAGAAAGGGAAGTTAAGCCCCAAGTTCATTGATCCTTTTGAGATACTAAAAAGAATAGGATTAGTGGCCTATAGACTCAACACGCCCATAAAACTTATCTACCGTATGCAATGTATTTCATATGTCCATGTTACGAAAGTATACGTCACCCCACTCACATAATAGCACATGATATACTTCCCTCGAGAAAGGACTTAACGTGTAAAGAAGAGTCGATACAAAATTTCTCCAACTTTTAATGGATAAGAACTTCAAGATACTCAATAACCAGAAAATGACTAACAAAGTGGTAACAAATTTTATAAAAAAAATTTGGATTATTTGAAAAAAAATAATATTATAATTTTCATAAAGGGTAAATTACCTTATTTATAAAGTTTAAAAGAATCACGAAATTGTCATGGCTGACCAAATTAGATCCTCCATAGTACCCTATTGCACATAATCCATAGTCTCTTATAATCTAGTCGTTGGATCTCCCTCTGAATTGGATATGACCTAGAACGTTCACAAATCATCAAATCCAACAGTTTGAATTTAAAACTAAATTCGACAAAGCTTTGATCGGCACACGATTTTCTAGCGAAAAATCCAAAAGGATCAACTACGGAATCATAGCGGTTCTAGATGTTTCAAAGGCGGTGGATCATTTCTCTTAAGTTTCGTTCATTTGGAGCAAGAAACAAGCAATACCGATCCTTCCATCATGAGTTATAAACTTTCATTTTCTGGGTTTTAAGATCTTATGTTACTTCCAAATTCGAGAGCTATACCTACTAAATAAGATTAATCACAATTTTGGTGAAGGAAAGAAGGGGCAAAAATGCCCAAAACCTATTTCCCAAATTTGGTCCCCGGAAGGAATCGAAAGGAGCTTACAAAAATTCAATTCAATTTTACACTAATTCGTTGTGTGAGACCTAACACAATTGAGGTTTTTGTTAGACTTAGGGAACTAAATAAAGAATATTTGATGAAGGAATTGAGGGATAGTTCGTCTGAGATCAAGCTGCCCCGGAGGATCATTTTCCCTTTCAGGAGTAGCAACCATCTTTACATCATATTAAACATAATGATCATTTTCCCTTTCATAAGGTTCATCATAAGTGGTACTTTTGTTTGACAAGCTGCCGTAAGCTTTCGATAAGATTTTTAATACTGTCCGAGACAAATTCATGATTTACTAGAAGAAAAAAAATTCTAACTAGTTATAAGATCAGATAAATCGTACATACAGTCTGAACCTTTGAGTTGAGTCCAATATTGAAATTCTTCTATAGCTATGATAAATCTGGATCACTCTCATTTTCTTATTCTTACTTTTTTCCATTGAACGACCCTGTTAGAGTCCCCCACAATATATAATTGTAGGTATGAAATACAATTTTCAGTAATGAACGACTCAACTCTTA